TATTCAGCACGGGCTCTCTCCGACCTCTCTGGCTACTCTCTCAGAGTCTTGTGCTGGCATCTCCTTCCAACTTCTGGCTAATGGTGTGTCCCACACTCAGCCTCCTGTTGTCTACATTGTTGACCTTCACGTAACTTTAACATTTCAGCCTTCATATCCATCTAAGCTCCAGATTCATGCACTCAATCGCCTGCTGGACATATCTCACTTGGATGTCCATTGGCCATATCAAACTTAAAAAGGAACCAGCAAGCCCTCCACATCTGAATAAGAACTGCACCACCCATCACCCAGTTACTCAGAATAAAATAATTCAGTATGTTCCACAGGTCCCACATCTACAATATATCCCAAATTCTATCACATTTCACCATCTATACCACACACCCTTAGTCCAAGCCACCATTGTTTCTCGTCTGGACAATAGCTAGAGCCTCCTCACTGGTCTTCCTGCCTCCATCATTGCTCCTGACAATCCAATTTCCTCTGAGTAGTGAGAATGACCTCGCTAAACCTGTAAGTCAGATGACAGTATCTCCTCCCTTAAAAAGCTCAGGCGGCTCCTGTTATACTAATTAGACCAGCGGTTCTCAACCTGTGGGTCGCGACCCCTTTGGCGGTCGAACGACCCTTTCACAGGGGTCACCTAAGACCATCCTGCATATCAGATATTTACATTACGATTCATAACAGTAGGAACATTACAGTTATGAAGTAGCAACAAAAATAATTTTATGGTTGGGTCACAACATGAGGAACTGTATTTAAAGGGCCAGAAGGTTGAGAACCACTGAACTAGACCCTCTTCACCCTCAGCTCCTGCATGCTCCTCCACCTCACTGGACTTCCTCCTGTACTTTGAGCAGTCCTTGGTTCAGAAACCTTGCTCTTAACTCTTCCTTTCCCTTAGCATCCTCAAACTGCAGATCTTCACTTGCCTGCTCTTTATCACCCTTCAGATCTCAACTCCAATTTTCTCTTCCTTTTCAGCTTCCATGCTCCTAACTAAAGCAGCCCACACCACCCTGGCATCACTCTCTATCGCATTACCCTACTTGGTTTGCTCCAATTAGTATGTGACCTATTCCCAACCAATCAAATGAACCACTACAATTAAAGCATTTTACCAGCTAAGACAAGCTACATAAATCCCAAGACCTAATTACATGTAGGCAAACCTGCTGCAGTTTATGAAGGGTACCTGGATAGGACACACACTTCACGACAGAAAACACAGTAAGCCAGCTTTGCCATGAGGCCTCCACGCGGAGCAGTGTGACCTGCTAGAAGCAGAGCAACTAAGAACTTCCCACATACAAAAACTAACAGCAGATGGTTCTCACATTTTTATAGTTAAAATTTTTTTTAAAAAATCAAACCACCAGAATTCCTACCAGGGCTGTTGAGAGCAAACTGTCTGTGAACCATATGGCCTGTCTATTAATACATTTGACCTGTTAGCCAACAACTGTTCCCCCGCCAGGATGGAAGGTTACTCTGGGAGATGGAGGAGAGCAGAAGACACACTTAAAGGTTCAGAAGATGGGCACCAGGGGGGTGTTGAGGAAGCAGAAAGTAGTTATCACCAGGAAGAGATCATCAAGACGCAACCTAACAACAATCTCTAAGACCAACCAAGGGTTGTGGCCAAAAGTGGCCAATGATTTAAATGACTTTACTTCTATCTTTATTAAGAAAGAAACAGAAAAAAAGAGCCTTAAATTTCCACAGCAAGATTTAGACTCATTCTGTGGAATTATCTTTATACTATGCAGAGTATTAGGAGTATTTCCAAATATATAACTGATTCATTCAATGAATGAAGTCATTGCTATGAGAACTGGAGTAGTACAGCTGAACAATTAGAACCCCAGCTTCTAGAGTTAATAGGAAGTTTAGTGTCAGTCCATCCAACCTCCTCTCAATGCACAACGCCTATCTCCATGGCCTGACAGGTGATGGTGAATGTGCTCAAAACTCAACAAGATCTCATTATTAGAAAGCTGTGTCCTTGTGTTGTTTCTAAATCTGCCTCCCTGTAGCATTAGACCTAGAATTGTCCTCCAGAACAAGACACCCCAGGGCCAAAGACCTGCCGACATCCATATAGCACCTTTGTCTCACTTGGGGAACTAATTATTCAACCTCCAAATTTATTTTACTTAAAAGAGAAAGAGAAAGACAGATGCATTTCCTTCCTAACAGTTGTATGGATTTGTCTTGACTTGCAGAACTCCAAGGATGTCCAAGGTTACGCCATCAGTAAAGCATTATGTTTGTTTGCACAAGAAGAAATTAAATAAGATAAACTCAGAGACCATGAAAGGCTTTTTGGTAATAAGCTGACAGAAAGTTTCCAAAACATTAACTGAAAAGCAGAAGTCCCTGGTTAATGTTGATACGCATTTTTTATCAACACAAATATCCTGCCAGAAGTTTTGTTTTCTTTATTGAAATTTCACCCCTTTAATAAAAGTATTCAATTCAGTGGTTTTCAGAATATTCACAAGGTTGTGCAAATGTCACCACCAATTCCAGGGCATTTTCATCACCCCAAACAGAAACTCTGTAGCCACAAACAGTGACTCCCCATCCTCCCAATTCCCCCAGCACTGGGCAACCACTAATCTACTTTTTGCCTTTAGAGATTTGCCTGTTCTGGACAATTCATATAAATTGAATTATATAATATATAGGTTTTTTTGTCAAAGTTCATCCATATTGTATCATGAATCAATACTTCATTCCCTTTTATGACTGAATAATATTCCATTGTATGTATTTACCACATATTATGTATCCATTCATCAACTGATGGACATTTGGGTTGTTTCTACTTTGGGGCTATTATGAATGCTGCAGTCATATAAAAGTTTTTTATGTGGATGCATGTTGTCATTTCTCCGGGCCTATATCTAGAACTGGAATTTGGGGGTCATAAGGTAATTCTATGTTTAACTTTTTGAGGAACTGACAAATTGTTTTCCAAAGTGGCTGTACCAATTTAGGTTGACACCAGCAGTATATGAGGGTTCCAATTCCTCCACATCCTTGCCAACACTTGTTACTGTCTGTCTTCTCTATTATAACCATCCTATTGGGGTATGCTGTGGTATTTCTTTGTGATGCTGACTTACATCTTGGGAGAAGTTTTTTAAATTGATATTTAATATACCATAAAATGTATTTTTACATACACATTATGGATGCAGAGATGTCTCCAACCATTTTAACACACTGTTGTGCTATTATCTCAACATTTATAAAATGGTCCAAAATGAGAGAATCATCTTATGGAAAGTAGAAGTTATACACATTCATGTGCTTTATGAAAGAGAACAGTGGCCCGGGAGCGGGGGACTTAAAAGGGATTTCCGATAGGATTTCTGTGCCCCTCACTGCAGTAACCAATACTGAGTATTGCCCAAGGAAGGCAGAAATGAATTCAAAGGCACTTGGGTATCATTCCCATCTCTTAGAGGCTGCTTCTCCATCTGTAAAATTGAGCCAATAATATCCTCAATGCAGGCCTCCTGTGAGGATTAGACATGCTCATGCAAATGAAGGACTTGGGCAGTGCCTGGTATTACAGAAGATGCTCAAGATGTGGTCAGCACTGTTTTGCAGTAAGAAATTTGAACCAATTTATACCAGGCACTTGTATTAGAATGTACCGACTCAGAAGGTTGGCATGCTGGTGCCCTTACAATGCCCCAGTACCAAAGCACACCTCGGGCATCTTCTGGCCCACAGGTCTGCGACTCATAAGCTGGGCTCCACTGAGCACAAGGCCATTTTATTTCTGAGGGTCCGAGCAAAACTTAGTTGGCTCCAAGGCCATCCTATACATGCTTTAAAAATAAATAAACTATCTATATCCAGCCATAAAGCTTGTTCAAGAAATACAAGGAGCTGCATCCGTATAGGCCACAGGACTCACCAGCTTTGCTATTACAGCTTTGGAGCTTCCTGGGAACGTCTGTGTTAATACCAACTACAAACCCGAAATGGATGCTTCCTAGGTCCTGACCATAACACCCTTTCAATCATCACCATTTCTTCACAGGCCGGCCCCACCTCCAACACCTGCATCTCTTTGCCTGGCTGCTGGCTGCTGGAGCCCAGTCTATGGCCTACAGGTGGCCAGGATCTCCCAGCACTGACCCGGCAGTCCTCAACCAATGACTGATATGAGTTGGGGTAAATGCTTTAGCTCCCTCACCCAGGAGTGGAAGTGGAGGGGTGACTCTGGCTCCCAGAATGCCCCACCGGGAAAGAACTCCCATTGCTCGGGGCGGTAACCTGTGTGATGTCCCGCCCCGCCTTGGTTCCTTCGCTCTCCTGCCTCACTTCACCCTTCATCCGTGTTTCCTGGATCCACCTCCCAAAGAAGCTTGCACTTGAATCCCTGTCTCAGTATCTGCTTCTGGGAAGCCCAGAGTAAGGCAAAACCCGAGGCATGTTTTTCAGTCTTCCATTCAGTAGGACCTAAGAGATTCCAGATTGTTGAATCACTTATGGAGCCATCACATTTGGCTGATGTCCAGAGAAGGGGCTGAGTGAAAATTGAAATCCTTATTCAAATTTAACAAGCTGTGAGCTTGGGACACTGGCCTAGAGAAAAGGGTGCCTTTTCCTTCATAAAAGGTTGCTTGTCACTTGCCAACCCTTGGGCCCAGGGGGCCACACCCGCCCAGATTACATAGGATTGCTACTGGCTGCTGAAGACCCTGGCCTACCAGAGTGCCTGAGCTCGGTAACAGTCTGCGGATGGTGATGAGGACTCACACCTGCCAGAGGAGCACCTGGGAGATCAGACGCAGGACAGCATGAACTGGTGCTGGGTGCTGGGGGGAGGAAGAGAATCCATACTCACTGTCTCTCTCCAGTGTGTCAGAAACTTTATTAGCTGACCCTTTCGTTCCCCACCTCCAAGATTTTAGCAGTCACAGAGCTGCCCTCTCTTCTTATCCTTTCATAACTATTTACCCCACACCCACCTTCCCACTTCTCTGGAGCTGGCCTGCAAATCCCGAGCCCACCGTGCGGAAGCACTCCAGACCTGACAGTGACCACCAGCTCTTTCCTGTCACTGTGACATCCTCTCCCAGGTTCATCACTCTGTAAACGGAGCTGCACAAGCAGCCTGCTTCCTCCCATCAGCTGAACCCTCCACTCCAGCTCCATCTTCTCACCACTCCACTGCCTGCCCCCAACTGCACTGGGATGACTCTGTGACTGAGTCTAAATGCTAAGCCAGCGCTGGACCCAGACATTCCCATCCCATTGCCCACACTGGCTCTATGCCCCAGGGAAGGCACTGGTGCCAGTTCTGGCCAAAGCCAAGGCTGCTCCCAGGAGAGAAATTGACGTCCATAAAGCAGCAATTGGCTCCTACGGTGTTGCCACGGCAATGCCAACCTCTGCAGTCTCAAGAATGGACAAAAGCAGCACAGAAGAATGAACCTTGCAGGAGGAAACCAGGCTAAAATTCTCTCCTTCCTGCCAAAAGTCTTGCTGTGGGGACACACAAACACTGTCAAGACCGCAGACAGCTATGAAAAACCACTCTGGGAAGGCACCCCGCCCAAGTGATAATGAAGAAATTCAGAATTACTGCCTGGCTAATAGGCAACATGAAGACAGAAGTGTTAAAGAAATTAATGGAATCTGTGTTTCAAAAATATGATTCTTATTTATATATGATTTTCATCTCATATTAAAATACAATGAACTCTCTCCTCACCCCCATCTTTGCCCTTGAGCTGCTCTTTACCTTAATCTACCGAGATACAGGGATGCATACAATCAGGGAAACTGGTTCAAATCCAGAGCCTCACCCGTCACATGCCTATTTACCTATATTTTCTGGGCCTTCCCCTCTTTGTAAAGTGACGGATTGGTTCTTTCTATGCAACAATAATGTGCAGCACACAGGTTCTGGCTGTTCCCCTAAGAGTGGCTTCTATGGTATCTTGACCACACACAGCACAAGAGAAGGTAAACTGGACTGAGCCCAGTGTGCTACATATTTAGAGAAATGAATGAAAATTGCTGCTATGTGATTTCAGCAAATCTGGTTTCCTGCCAAGTCAACGCTGAAAAGAAAGAAAAAAAAAATCAAACCTTCCTCACTGGAGGGAAGGCTGAAAAGCTGTTTCACTGAAGGGAGAATGTAGGACTTATTCAGCACAGACCACACTGAGCCTGTTTCTGGGGCATGTCGTCCGGTGGCAGCGTCCTGGCTCCGCTCTGTGCCATCCAGGCAACCTGTCACTCTGCAAGCCTCTCCCAGTCCCACGGAGACTCAGGTGGCACCTCCAACACAGAAGCCACATGATCACACATATGAAAGTTCTCTTCTCTTTAGTTAAAAAATGAAATAGGAAAATGTTCGCCCAGAACTTCACTTGGCTAGGTATGGTACATATAGAGGCTTCTGATAAACTGCAAATATTTACTACAAACAGAATGAAAAAATACCGGGGCTTTTTTTCACTCTGCAGAAAGAGATTTTAAAATTATAATTTTCCCATATATTGAATAGCAATTTTGCTTTTATGGTAAGTTCAGGCCCTTTGTCTCCATTTGTTTCTCAGGACTAGAGAGGCTGGGCAGGAATATTAGCTTCCCTTCCTGGGAATGGAGAATAACTTCATGGCCATGTGAAAGGCAACGATTTGAGCTGAAAGGCAACGAGAGATCCAGAATTTCTGGTTCCCAGCTGAGCCTTGAACCCTTGACACCATGTTGCATCTTATCACTGACCCTCCGGGAACATTGTTAACCCCCAACTACAGGTTGTATAAGAATGCCACGCATTTGCATTTAGAGCATGACACAGTATAACCCAGAGTGCAATGACTTGCTTTTACATATTACTGATAAAATAGCTTCTATTAATTACAGAAAAAGATGGCCCACAAGATAGAGTAGGGGTCCTCAAACTACAGCCCACGGGCCACATGTAAATACAAATATTGTATTTGTTTCCCCCCCCTTTTTTTTTTACTTCAAAATAAGATATGTGCAGTGTGCATAGGAATTTGTTCATAGGTTTTTTTTTAAACTATAGTCTGGCCCTCCAACGGTCCGAGGGTCAGTGAACTGGCCCCCTGTTTAAAAAGTTTGAAGACCCCTGAGATAGAGTAATTACATTAACCAAAACCAGCAAGGGTCATTAAGTCTGTGGTAGCTATGTCATGATTAGTGTCAAAGGTGGCTCCCACATCCGATGAGAACGCATTAGCGCTATAAAAGGGGAGCAGTTGCCGAAACCAGTTTGGCTCAGTGGATAGAGCATCGGCTTGCGGACTGAAAGGTCCCAGGTTCGATTCCGGTCAAGGGCATGTACCTGGGTTGCAGGCACATCCCCAGTAGAAGATATGCAGGAGGCAGCTGATCGATGTTTCTCTCTCATCGATGTTTCTAACTCTCTATCTCTCTCCCTTCCTCTCTGTAAAAAATCAACAAAATATATTTTTAAAAAAGGGGGGTGGCGGGTAGCAGTTGATGCAAATCTAAACAGCTCTTCCGCAAATCTAGGATGGATGGGCTGGAATGAGGCTACCCATGCTTCATACATCCCAGTCCAAGGAAACTCTGTCCTCATCCAGGAGAAGAGAAGTTTAACCCATAGAGGCAGAGGTGGCTTTCCCACTGGCAGATGAAGTTCTGGGCCCACCAAAAAAAAATTCTTTAAAGATTTGGTATTACTAAATTCAGTCACAATTTTGTAATCAGAAAAAAAGACTTTTAATTTTATTTGGAGGATATGGCATCCTATTGTTTAGTGCTTAAGATACTGGAAGAGTTGGGTGGCCACAAATAGGTGGAATTTAAAAAGCAAAGATCTCCCAATACTCTTCTGCCCCTCTCCTAACGTTTCAGAAGGCTATGATCAGAAATAGTTCTCTAGTCTCTTGCTAGGAACAGCAATTAGCTTATCAGATTCATTAGTTAATAGAACAGAGATTTAAAACAATTGTTCATTTCTGAGTAGATACTGGCGGGAGGGGGTGTTCCCCCCAGGCCAAGAGAGAGCATCAGGGTGAGGCGGGGAGGGGAGCACCAAAGGCAAATGCCATCTCCTTCACAACCAGCCTAGGATGGGCCAGCAGGCAATTGTTTAAACCTATTATTCCAGCACTTTGGGCCCAAGATCGAGGGCAGGAAGTGTTTAATAGACACCCACACTCAGAGATACCTGAGGACTGCTTGCTGGTACCTTCTTCTTGAGAAGGGAGCCCTGTGTTCTTCAGTTCTTACTCCACACTTCCTTCCAGAATCTCCCTTTCATAGCATTGTTTAAGAAAAGGAAGAAGCAGCCTGTGTTATCTTCTTCTATTTTTTTTCTTTGTCCTCCCTCAAACCACTGCCCCATCTCTGCCTTTAGTCAAACCACTTTGAAGTCTGGTCTTCTCTTGCCTCTACTTCCTCACCCCTCTACCTTATATCCCACCACTTAATTTTTGCCTTCATTCAGCTGCTTTCTTTTTTTAAAAAATATATTTTATTGATTTTTTACAGAGAGGAAGGGAGAGGGATAGAGAATTAGAAACATCGATGAGAGAGAAACATCAATCAGCTGCCTCCTGCACACTCCCCAATGGGGATGTGCCCGCAACCAGGGTACATGCCCTTGACCGGAATCGAACCTAGGACCCTTCAGTCTGCAGGCCGACACTCCATCCACTGAGCCAAGCCGGTTAGGGCGATTCAGCTGCTTTCTTAAAGAGCTCCAGAGACTCCTAGTCCTCAAAGCTAGGACCCATGACTGGCTTCAATGTCCTCAAAACTTACAAACCATTTAGAACTGTGCACCAGCAACCTTGTTGAAACTGACCTGCTGTCTCCCTGGGCACTGCAATCCCTGCTCAGGACTTTCCTCTTTTGACTCCTCTATCCCTCCCTGTCACTAGTTATTAGATCCAACTCCTAATATAGAACATCCCAGCTCTCTCACCATACCTCTTCTCTTCTCTTTCGCACCGTCCTCTTCAGTACTCTCAAACACTCCTTTGGTTTCAGTCATAGCTGTGTGCCGAAGACACACACAAGTCTACCACTAACCCTGAGCCCCAAACCCATGGTACCAACTGTCTGATTAAAGTCTAACTGGATGTCCCCGAAAACCCTAAACAATGTATGCTGAAGCGGGAGCCTTTCTCCTCCTCCCCCTCCACCTTTTCCACCACTGTCCCCAGTCCTCTAAGGTCAGAGCCACCTTGCCCATAGTCCCTCCCCAGTGTAGAGTGCTTTGTAACTTGTAAAGTGATTTTTCTATGCCTTTTATTCTTTGGTTCTCATTACCACCCTGTTAAGCAAATACAATATGGGCTTTGTGACCTGGACAAACCAGGGACCTCTCTGAACCTGACCTTGTCACCTGTAAAATGCCAAGAGTGATAGTTGCATTATCAGAGAGTAGTTGTGAGACATCTATGACCCAGGCACAGTGCAGGGAATGGCAGGTGAGTCACTCAAATACTCTATCCCTCTCCCCTAGTTTCTGACCTCAGTGGTGCTTCAGATGACTGATCTGTATTATGACACAGTTTGTGATCATAGGTCTCCTGGAACTGTATCAGAGTGCCTGTGAGCTCAAAGAAGGAGCAGGAAGGAGGCAGGGGGTGGAGGAGGAAAAGGGGCTGGGGTAGAAGACTGTCAGTCAGTTGCCACAGAGTGGTGGTTCAGTTCTCGATCTATCTCTTGCTTTGCACCTCAATTACCTTATTACTTTTTGTGCAAGTAATCTGCTTGTCTCTCCTCCCTCCAGTGCATTCTACATCCTTTCCCAAATCCACCTTCCTTTGGCCCACCTGCTAAAAGATGGCTCTGTCACTTGCTAGGATGCCCTACTGTATACAGCCCCTTAGTTAGATGCCTTCAACAACAGAAAACCTGTAGAACAACCCCCGTAGTGGGTCCCTTCCCACCCAACACTCCAGTGCCACAGGCACAGCACCTTTCGGGCAGCTGCCTCACTGCTCTAACTACTTCCTCTAACTGGAATGGAACCTTGACACCTTTACCGTGTTATCTGTCAAATAACTGCCTGTTCTTTAACACTCATACCAAATGCCATCTCTTCCAAAATGAAGCTTTTCTGGATAAA